CATGGATAGGAATCCATCGCCAACCTGAACCAGATCCCCTATGGAAATACAAGCGATATGCTGAGATCCTTGACGAAGAAGGCCTCCTCTTCCCTAAACAAGAAAAATGTAGAACCTCTGTCATACTACCTCAGCCTACTCCTAAAGCTCTTCCTGTTCCATGTATGATGATAAAACCTTCAGCTTATAAGGAAGAATTTCCTCCATTAGAAAGGAACACTGACCCTGTTTCCAAAACAATGACTAAACCTCATATAGTTTGTCAAGAAATTGGCCCATATGGGAAGATTAAACCATTAAGTCAGGCAGAAGAAGTCCTGAACTGGCAGACAGAAAATGCTCGAGCTCAGAACTTAATCTTACAGAAGATTGACAAGAAGATTGATAAGATCTCCACGCATCTAGAGGAGACTGATGATAAGCTCCAGCATCTTAACTCTACTTTGAGAAAACACTATAAACAACTCTCTGCAGAAATCTCAAAGTTAGAAGAAGACTGGAAGACCAACTGTTTTCGGAGAATTATCTCATGCAAAAGAAAGAGAAATAAGGAGACTCAAATCTCAAATTCAAGAAATGGATAATTACATTGAAGAAAAGATTAGGCAACAAAATCTAGAGAACACGATGTTACTTTCTTGTTTGAAATTAACTATTTTTAAAAATAATATTTAATATTTATAAAGACAATTTTATGTGTTTCATGGTTTTTTTACCTGATATTTAATATAAAAATTACGTAATGAACATTAATTATAATAATAATATTATTATTATTAATAATAATAAGAAGAAGAAGGTATAAAGAAATGAGAAGAAAAATAAAATAACATTAAGTATTGAAGTTTAAAAATAAAATGATCATGTAATTGAAGTAACAGTTACTAAATCAATTGAAGAAAAAAATCATTTAGTTAATTTAATATAAGCTATTGAGTTTATGTGAATAATCTATTTTGTGAATCACCCTGACAATGATTTGATATCATAAATAAGAGTAATAAATAAAAGAATTGTCACAATCATAGTTGAATTTATGACTCTTGTTTTCGGAAACTTTTCCCGCGCCCTTGAATTTACCTAACACTCGAAATCCGTGACAGAGATAGTTATTTTTGTGCGGATTTAATTCTCAAGTAAAAAAATTAAATATAAAATTATATTGGAATAACTAATTTATGTGAAATATGTTTTTTCTTCTCTTTAATTTTATATTTTTTAGTTGAATGAGTACATGTAAGATTATTTATTTTGTCATGACGTGTTAAGATGAAGAAAACACAAATTACAATGATAATTTTCGTAAATATTTGTTTAACAAATAAAATAGAGAATAATTTATATAAAAATCATGTTTAATTGATAGAAATCTTTTAAAGTACATTAAAATTACCTCTTTTTTTATTTATTTGTAGTTACGTTAGCAATTAAAAAAGAAAATACTAACTAACAACATGTCTAAAATGAAAGGAAAAAAATGTTTATATGGACAATTTAAAAAAAACTTCAATAATAAAGCATTATTAGTGTTGAATTTTTCAATATAATAACTTAAATTAGATGAAGATGTATTACTTTTAATTTGGTAGTGAAAGGTACTCATGATTGGATTTTATTTGTTTTTTATAAATTAAAATTATCAAAATTAATTTGATTTTAATTAATTTAAAAATTTAAATCATATCAAACTAATATCCAGCTTAGTTTGAATGGGTTTTACAAATTTTGTTATTATTGAATTATTAACTTGTGTTTAAATAAGACTGTAAAATATTTGCTTGAAAAAACTACGAAATTTTTATAATATTTTTTAAATGAAAGTTTATATCATAAAAACTCTATTATTATAATCACATTAATATTTTTTTAAAAATATAAAAAATTACATAATCTTATAACTAAATATTACAATTCAAAGTTATATCATATTTTTTAATAAATATAATTAAATATATATATATATATATATATTTATATTTATATATTAAATAATTATTATTTTTACATATATTATGTTATATTTATATATAATAAACTGTTTGTTTAGAATTTTTTTTTATAATCTGAATCTGAACTACGTACAGTTTAAAAATTAAAAATAAAAATCTTAGTTTTCATTTATATTTTAGTTTTTAATTGATTTACAGAAATTTTTTTATTGTATTTTTTTTATCCATTCGGTTAGGTTTGACACTAGTTGAGATTTTTGTGGAAAATCAAACCTTCTTTTAATTGTGAAAGTCAGAATTGGGAAGACATAGATCATGGTGTGGTGGATAAATCTTGAAAGAACATTCCATTTTTACATCTGTGATAGGAATATCACATCGCATTATCAACCCACCTTTGCTGACAGTTCATTAGCATCGGTTCGTTATGAAAACAACCTTCGCACTTTTTCGACAAAGAAGATGTGAATTTCTGACAAGAATTTTTAGTCTTGTCAACTTTCAAATATTGAATGGAAACTAAAATCTAACTTACAGAAGATAATATGTAATTGAAGATGTAATTTGAAATATTATAATAAAAATAAAAAAATTATATAATAAAGATATAAATATTAATTAAAATAGTAATGGATTGTTCAGTGGAAGTTTTTTAAATAATAAATTTATTTTTCAGACAGTTGTTTTTTTAAATGAGAAAAATAAAGTCAAGGTATTGACTTTATTAATTAATTGATTTCATTTTTCATTAGTCAACATTAATTAATTAATACTATAGTTAATAAAAAAAAGTTCGTCCGTTTTCTAAACAAAAATTGAAGTTATATTATCTTCTTTTATAAGGATAGAATATAAACATATGTTATAATGTAATTTAATACTATTAAAATAATTTAAAAATAAGTTAATTAAGTTTTTATTTTTTGTGAGAATATTATACTATCTATTGGTATATTAAATATATTAATTCAATATTATTGATTTGAAATATTTTTTAAATAAAAATAGTATAAAATTGAAGTACTTTGAATTAAATAAGTTTTTCTTTTCTTTTCTTTCTTATCTCCTTCTCATAATTTCTATCTTTAGATTTAGTTGATTTTATTTATTTTCCATATCTCTTTCAAATTACAAACAATTAATGTAACTAAAAGTTGGACTTCAATAATATATTTCCCTGTAGGTATGAAAATTGAATAAATAATATAGCTTGAAAATTAACATATGCTAAATAACATAACACGTTTGCTCATCATTAATACATAATGTTATAAAAAAATTTAATAATATATAGCAGTATTTGTTTGGTAATGTAGACGTTAATTTTCCAAATAAAAAAAGAAAGAGTTTTTTTTTTTAAATGATGAACTTCTTTTCGTTAATATAATTTTATATTTAGAAGCAATACATACATTGCGTCGAGCCCATGTTACTTTTGATTGATTCTCAAATACGAACATATAATGTTATGCCTAGACTTTGAGATACAATGTCAAATGAAGAATTTCATTTTTATGTATGTCTGGACCTTTTTAAGATACGCATTTAATAGGAATTTATCCAAGCATCATATCACTCTATTTCATTTATATGACCTTGCAATTGAGCAAAATCCAATTAGATGCTACGTAAAATGTTTTCATTTTTAAATATATTCAAATTAAATTCTTTGATAAGCAGGGTTTTTAAATTTTTATTAAAAGATAACATTTAAAGCGAAAATTTTTCCCTTTTAAGATGGGATTTTCATTTTACAAGTTTGTTCTTAATGATGAATAAAATATAATAATCAAGAGAATTATAATGTCTAATAAAAAAATTATAAGATAAATAAAGTGCGTGTAACTCGTTTGTTGTATGAATTGGAAATTTTAACGGGCAATAGTAACAAAACTAGGTTACAATTTCAGTGATTTATATAGAATTTTTTCTATGTTTATAATTTTAAAAATAATATATAATGAATTATAGTGATAAGTGCAGAGGATGAAATCCTTACAAAACAGAATCCTGAAACGATAATACAAACAACAATCAACCGAAAGGTTTACAACAAAGACACACGTGTACATACAGAGAGAGAGGGACCACCACCGAGTTCTCTGCATTGCTTGTACTTTAACGTTTAACCTCTGTAATCTCAATAATTAAAACTACATTTAATATATAAATCATAAGTTAAAAAGTTTTAAACCGTTCAAATTGAAATCGCGTTGCATCAGGTGCTGCAATCCTCTTTACTCTGTATGTAGGTCTTTCTGGTGGTCCGGAGACAGAGAGAGACAGAGAGAGACGGCACGAAAAAGTGTCTCCTTGAAATTTCGCACACGAGTAGATGGTCAAACCATTACTTTTACAATTCCAATATTACTTTTATCAGCACAAAACCAAAGATGATTTTTCTTTATGGTAAGGCATGAATATTGTTTTACAAGAAAAATTAGTATGAAAGTGTTTTATTTACTTTCTTTAAATAAATAAAAAAAAGATTACCCTTTCTAACTTTATGGATTAAGAGTCTTAAAAAGACGTTTTTTTGGTGAGACTGAAAAATATATTAACTTTTGAATGTAATAGAAGTAACAGCACCTCAGAGTGAGAGGGAGGAAATTTGAAACGAAAAGGAGAAGATGTGTTCCGTTGTCGTAAACGATGATTCCCACGTCATAACATGGCCTTACTTAGCTGGACCTCAACCCCACCATTGACCCACCTCCACTCCTACTCCTACTACCTCTTCTCTCTCCAATCCCTCCCTCTCTCCTCATTCTCTTCTTTTTCTCTATTTCTCTTCACCCTTTCTTCTTTTTTTCCCTTCTTAGTTTAAATTTAAACCACAACAACTTCGTAACAAGTTCTGCTTCCTACCCTATTCTCCCACGTCACCTACTCCGTTCCCTCTGAAAACTCTAATTTTTGACCTCAAATTAAATCTTACCATTTTTGACTTCTCTCCTTCTTCACCCTGTTCCCACATTCTCTGTTTTCACACCAACTTTATTCCTCTCAATAAATTTCCTTCCTCTGCATTGCAGACACACCTCTATCAACATGACCCCTCTCTTACCCTCTTTCTCCCTCACCGACCTAGCCTCCTACCTTGTATGCTTCATCCTCCTCCTCATTCTCTTCGAACAGATCTCGTACCTTGTCAAGAAGGGTTCCATCCCAGGACCCTCCTTCGTGGTGCCCTTCCTAGGCAACGCTATTCCATTGGTCCGCAGCCCAACCCTCTTCTGGGACCTTCAAGCCTCTTTGGCCAAGTCTACCCCTTTAGGCTTCTGCGCAAACTACATCCTCGGCAACTTCATCGTCTTCATAAGAGACACCGAACTCTCCCACAAGGTCTTTGCCAATGTCAGACCCAACGCTTTCCACCTGGTGGGTCACCCCTTCGGCAAGAAGCTCTTCGGCGAGCACAACCTCATCTACATGATGGGCCAAGACCACAAGAATCTCCGCCGTCGCATCGCCCCCAACTTCACCCCCAAAGCTCTCTCCACCTATACCGCGCTCCAGCAGATTATCATCCTCGATCACCTCAAGTCCTGGGTCGCCAAAGCACAAGCCCAAACCAATTCCATTCCGCTCCGTATCCTGACCCGTGACATGAACCTCGAGACCTCACAGACTGTCTTCGTGGGCCCCTACTTGGGCCTCAAAGCCCGAGAGCGTTTCGAGAGGGATTACTTTTTATTCAACGTTGGCCTCATGAAGCTTCCGTTTGATTTCCCCGGCACCGCGTTTCGAAACGCGAGGCTCGCAGTGGACCGGCTCGTCGAAACCCTAGCCACCTGCACTGAGATGAGCAAAACCAGGATGAAGAAAGGGGAAGAGCCTTCGTGCTTAATTGATTACTGGATGCAGGAAACGCTAAGGGAAATCGAGGAGACCAAGCTCACCGGAGAGCCGGCCGCGCCGTTCTCCACCGACGCCGAGATCGGTGGTTACCTCTTTGATTTTCTCTTTGCGGCGCAGGACGCGTCGACGTCGTCGCTGCTGTGGGCAGTGGCGCTACTGGACTCACACCCGGAAGTGCTGGCGAAGGTTAGGGCAGAAGTCGCTGGAACCTGGTCGCCGGAGTCGGACGAGTTGATTACTGCAGAGATGCTCCGGGAGATGAAGTACACGCAGGCGGTGGCTCGTGAGGTGGTGAGGCTCCGACCGCCAGCGACGTTGGTGCCGCACATCGCGGCAGAGAGGTTCAAACTGACGGAGTCGTACACAATACCGAAGGGGGCGATCGTGTTCCCGTCGGCGTTCGAGTCGTCGTTTCAGGGGTTCACCGAACCGGAGCGGTTCGACCCGGAGCGGTTTTCAGAAGAGAGACAAGAGGACCAAATATTTAAAAGAAACTTTCTGGCCTTCGGGGCTGGGCCCCACCAGTGTGTGGGTCAAAGGTACGCACTGAATCATCTTGTTCTCTTCATCGCGTTGTTCGCCACGTTGATCGATTTCAAGAGGGATAGAACAGACGGCTGTGATGAGATCGCTTACGTGCCCACCATCTGCCCCAAAGACGATTGCAGGGTTTTTCTCTCCCAACGCTGCACACGGTATCCTTCCTTCCCCGCCGTGGAGGACCTCGTCAAATGACCATAATACCCTTCCCAGGGTTTACTTTTCCTTCTCATTCGTCGCATGCAGTTTCTTTTTACCATTTTTTAAAATTTAATTCGATAAAATGTATTTTAGATTTGAATTTTCGGTTTGAATTGTACAAGATCATTTCGACCGAAAATTATGAGATCTTCAATATATTTCATCATATAAAAATTTGTTTGTGTTGACTTTTTCTTTTGGTATTTGAAATGTTGGAAGAGTTTGTGTATGAATGTGAGAGGTGATTGGATGGTGGATGATTGGGTGGTTATTAGCAATGAATAAAACTATGTAATGAAGAAAGACGCAAAATTTATTAAGATGAGACGCAAGATTTGTGAACTTTTGGGTTGCTGGTGTTTGGTGTGTAAAGATCTTCAAGCTTTTCTTCTTTTGGAAAACACATTTTCCTCCCTTTTCATCACTCTCCATGATCAAATTATTGCTGCATCTGTAAAGCTGATTCAACACTAATTAAATAGAAATGTCTGGCAGCATCTCACGTGTTCAAAGTTCAAATCACTTTAATCAATCTTTGAAAGAGACTCCTTATACAATTAATGTTACAACTTTTTTGGATTAAGTTATCTTAGCAATTATGATGCGAACGACTATTATATTACAAATTGATATATGGCAAGTAATTGATAACACGGTTTTATTAAAATAATATTTTTCTCTCTTAATTAGTTGAGAAAAGTAAAAGAAAATGAGAAGGTTGATCTATTGGAAACAAAAAATTAGAATTAACATGTCAATTTATAATAAGTACTTATTTTATTATTTTGATATTAAACTTAAGATATTGATAGTTGATAGTTTTTTTTCCCCTTTATAATACAGTTTTTTAATAACTAATCAAACAAAATAATGGCACAGTTTTCTATTTTGCGTTTTACTCTTTTCCCTTCGAACAATAAATATATAGGAAAATCATTTGAAAATAGAAGAGACACAGTGATATAATCCATAAAAGAATAATTAATTTAATATTAAACTTTGTAATAATAATTTTTTTAATAAATAAATAGAAATAAAGATTCTCCAGCAATCCAACACTTAAAACGAAACATAAGAAATAACAAATTAGTTTATCAACTTTCAACTTTTTTTCATTAAAATTACATTAACAAAAGTATCGTTGCTTTCGCAACTCTTTTATATAGGAATCTCTTAGCATGTGGATCTAAAATATCATTACAAATTAATGATATATTCATATAGCTTAATATCTCATATTCATAACCTATTAGATGTGATTTTTAGTCTATGCTTTCTTATTTATATACAGAATAACATCTTGAATAAAGATATATATATATAAGAATAACGTTAAATAAATAATTTTACAAACTTTATTAATGTTGAAATACATATAATGTCTCATATCATTGACGGACAAACAGAACCATGTTCATATATAATACAAATCATCATCAATTATTATACTTCAACACCTCTCCTATTTTTACAAAATTTGCACCACTCTAGTAAAAGAAAATCAATTTTATTTTTATATTTTATGAGATGACCTAAGAATTCTGTGAAAGATCATAGCGACCGTTTAGTGAACATTCCATTAGATTGGACTAATGTAGAACCTTCAGACTATCTGTATGAAATAGTTTTTTCATTGGATTCACCTTTGCATTTAAAATCCTTCAACCCTAAAAATCATGGCTAGTTTTGTTGGACTAAGATCCCCTAAGCCACATAGCCAAATCCAAAGAGTGACCATCCCAAGACAAATTTTTCCTATTTTTTATCTCTTTTCTATTTTACTTCCATGTGGTGCAGCGTATGTTTATGGTAACTCAAATTATAAACACCATGAAAAAGTGTCGTGAGTCACACTTCTATCTTCTTATAGCTAGAATTTTGTAACCTAGTGACACTCTCTACCAAGTGATACCAAAGAAAATTATGAAAAAAAAGGGGAAAAAACTAAGTTTTAGAAACGAGATGATGATTTTTCTTTCAAATAAGTGTAGGGAGAATGTTTGTTTGGTTTCAACCCTACAAAATTTGGAACATGCGAATTCTTGTGAAATAAATAGGTCGCTAAAACAGAAGTAGAGAATGAGTGAAGAGTAGGATTAAGAATGTGTAAAAGTGGGTGGGTTGTGGCTGAGTCACATCACATCACATGCACATGATATGTTGTGTTATGTTGGTTGTACTGACAACCTCTTAAATTGGGATTATTATGTTGTTTGCATTTTTTGTCTTTGGTGGTGTCTTATTGTGTTTTCAGACATCACACCTTTTAAAGTTTCATTTTCTAAATTCACAATTTTCCATTTTTTATACGATTTAAAACTTTTTATCTGTTTCTAATTACGGAAAATCTCATTTTTAATCAAATTCTTACTTATATAAAATCTAAAGAATGTATTAAAAACTATAATTAATTAAAATTATATTTTTCTGATACATGAAAATTAAAATCAACTAAAAAATAAAGAGGAAAAATTCGATGAAGAATTAAAATAAAATCGAAACTTTCGTTTATTTTTTTCATCATTAATCTAAATTGAAAGAAAACTTATTTAAAGAACAACGTTTTTTTACCTCACCACGAGCATTCTAAATTTTTTTTGTCGATAACTGTTTTATATTCTTTACCATATATTTTTAAGTACATACTTGTAAAACATATTACCTATCTGTCTACATAAGTTGAAGATAAATATATAATATGATTAATTATGAATAATTCAAAATTTAACTATTACGAGTTATTTAATTTAATAAATAGAACATAAATTTTTATATGAATTCGTTATCAAATAAAACAACTGTTATGAATTTTTATATATTTTGAATAAATTTGATTATGTGTGTGAAAGTAAAACAGTTCCTAATATGCAAAACAAAAACTACAAATATATACTTTTAAAAGGGTCAACATAAAATAAATGTAGATGCTTTTATAACTGGCCATTTATTATGTAGCAACTTCTAACAATATTTATGCTTCTCCTCTTGTAGATACTCTGTCCCCCACATGAAAAAAAGAAAAAAAAAAAAGTAGAAAATGAAGTGAACGTAAGCAAGCTATAGCATGATAACCAGATCAGAGCAACTAAAGTACAATAATTTTTATGAACAAAAAGTTTGAAATTTGAAATGAACCATGAACAAGTTTCTGTAAAGTATAGACATAAAAAACATAAATTCTGCTAAAACGAGGAGGTGGTAGGGAAAGAAGGAAAAGATAAGAGAAGCATTTAGTTATCCCGACAAGAACAAGGATCGAAGTGGTGCAGAGAGCAGAGTCAGATGATGGCATGCTGTGAAATGTCTCATCATCTACAGCTTGTTGTTTGACTTCTTACATACTTACCACCTACAGATGTGGAAGCAAGAGCCCCAGTCAGTCAGAACATATCCTTTTCGTTTTCTTTACACAAAATAATATTTTATATTTACAAAATCCCATAAATAACTTTAAAATATTATTTTTATATTAATTAATAAACAGAATAAAATAACATAAATAAATATTATACAAATTTAAAATTAATTATCACATATATATTTTTGTACTTTTACAATATTAAAATATCACCATTCTTCCTTCTATTATTTACCACCCTCTTCAGTTACAAACTTATATATTTAACAACTTTGTGTTTGATTTCTATGTATATCATATTTGTGTTTTAAAAAATATTATCCAAAAGTGATTTTATTTTTAAATGATTTTTAGATATTTTTAATTATATATATATATATATATATATATATTAAAAGTGTATCCATATTTATAATTATAATAAACTATTGTTTTATTAAAATTAAAAATTTTACATTAACCAATTTTATTTTATGACGGATAATTAAGCTTATAATCCAATAAATCGGATAAGACAAGAAAATGTACTTATCATTTTTTTTCTTTTAAATTTTTTCTTTCACCATTTAACAATTTTCAATGAAAAAAAAGGCACTTCCTGATTAATTAAAAAAATACAAAATCGAAGAACAAAACTAATGTTTCATCTATGTTATATAAAAAAAACCTTTTTATCAACTTAGAGATGAATTTGGGAGTAAAAAGATAAAAAATAAAATAGTTTAAATCAAAGAGAAGAGTAAAAAAAACAAAATAAATGAAAATAAATTATAATTAATAAAATTGATTTATCAGATTAAAAAATTAAATAATATAATAAATTAATAGTATATAATAAATATAAATTACATTAAAATACGATTTAATATAAAATAATTATTTAATAAAATGTATCTCCTTATAATAAAAAAATATAAAAATTTTAACCATTATTTACTTATAATTTGAATTAATTTTCAAATAACTTATAATTAAATATCTTTAACTATTTTCCTCTTAAATTTTAAAAATTAACTCATATTTATGTGCATGCTAATTATATTTATAATACATTAATTACAATAATAAATTATCCTGTGATTAATTTTCAAAAAAATTATAGTTGATTTATTTTTATTATTTTGTTGCAATTACTAATCTATTATATATAAATAAAAATTAATTGATTATTAAAAAATTGATTATGTAAAACCAATAAATAAATAATTATATAATAGACAATATTTATGTAAGGATAAAATAAACTTGAAGCCATTAAAGACGACTTTATTCACATTTTATTATGTTTTAAAACAAAACAACTATTTTGTAGGACCACCAATCCATCCAGTAAAATCACTCAATCTAACTAAATTTTATCTCTTAAATCTATCCTTTTATTTTTTTTTATTTTTTTTCTCATCTACATTACATATGTGGAAGCAAATTGAGACTACGTAAAAGCAAATCGAGACTTTCATTTTTATCTCTTAAAATATAAATATGGTTATAAAATGTTTTAAAAAATATTTTTAATTGTTATATATATATATATTTTTTAATTTTTAACAATGTTATTAAATAATTATTTTATATAAATTATATTTTATTTTTTTTAATCAAGATCAAGTAACTCATTTTTTCTCTACTTTCACATTTTTGCCCTTGATCAAAACATAACATTAATGTCATCAGAGAAAAAGCGTAATACATGTATAATGATTTATATAGAAAAAATAATATAAAAATAGTTATTAGAATTTATATATTAAAAAAATATAATATAATAAGAAAAAAAAACCCAAAAATACATCTAATTTTTTTTAATTAATTAATATTCTAAAAAATATGTACCGTTTTAAGTGTCGTTTTTTCACTAATAAAAAATAAATTATATGACATGATTATATATATATATATATATATATATATATTTTTTTTTTTTTTACTTTAGGTAACAATAGAAACAAAAGTTAAACAAAATGTATGGTAAAAAACCTATTATTAATTTTCGTTATAAACTTATCAATCTATACTTTTATAGTTAGGAAATTAAGTATAGCTAAGTGTCATTGTCTGTATACATTTACTATTGTATGTTATTTCCATACAATGCATTTAAAATATAATGAATGAAGGAAATATTAGAAACAAAATCAATAAAATTATGAATAAATATAACGAAATAAAAATGTTTAATTTTTACAATGAAATAAAATAAGTATAAATCTTTTTTAAATTATTTTGAAACCTTATTACTATACAAGTTTCATATTTGATTCTCATAATCAATTATTTGATGAAAAATATAAGATTTTTTGGAAACGAAATACAACAATTAATATTAATGATTGATTGTTAACCATAAGATAGACTATTATTGTTTTAAATTTGGCACAAATCTAAAAAAAAAGGTAAGAGCATTATAAGAAATTATCATTTCACACCTTTTATTTCTTTCTTCTACTACTTTTACTTTTATTAAACACCAATCTTTTAAATCTGACAAATTTCTTTTCTCTCTTCTACTATATTTATATTTTTATGATACAAAATAGTCATAATTTATAGAATAATATTGCAACATATTGTAATATTTACTAAGGTGACAACATGATAATTTCATATAATAGCTAGTAGCTTTTATTTAGGAAAAATATGCAAATTTAATATGTTCTCATAAAAATAGATGAGAATAATTATCACGAGTTGAAACAAATTGTTTCTTTTAACTGAATGATTTAGAGTTCAAATCTTTGATGATGTTACTTTATTACAAGCACAGAAAATACTATATGTTTTATAATCAAATAATCATGTTAGATTTAAGTTATAATTTTTGGTATTAACATATGAAATAATATTAACGGGTAATTAATTACTACATGTTTGATTCCGTTAAGGACTTATTTGAAACTTGTGTGAAAAAAGAAATTTAAATTACCAGAAACAACTACTTCTATAATATTTGCAACTTAAAAAAATTGCCACCAATGTGAAATGCCTCGTCTGTTGGGCATAACAGAATAAAAGATAATATATTTGTTAAACTTAACTGCAAACGTGTTCAAATATAAACACAGAATCGTAGATCAAGACGGGTGAGCATGCAAATTTGCACTATAAGAAACTATTCAAAGCCTATTCGTTGTCAACATTAGCGTATCAGGATTAGCGTATCTGGAAGGACAACGCTGATGGTGAATACTGTACGAGGAAAATGAAAAACTTGTCAAGTTAGACTGATAATTATGACATGTAACTAAATGTGCCAGTAAGTAGTATTTAGAAAGAAAATTCAACGAGGGTCCCAAATACAAGGCTCACATGTGATATATGTAGTAAATTTAAGGGATTGGGGAATTTGATGTTAGGAATATTGTTTAGAAATGCAGTAGTCTTGGCATTTGTAGGAACAATTTATGATAATAAGTGATGATTATTTTTAAAGCCCGATGGCAAGCAATGATTCAAATGCCGTGATGTATGTATTTTGAAACCAAACGAATGGATTACAACTTTATCACTTTTATATTTCCCAAAAGGTCACACTCATCTAATGTTCAACTGTGTCATTTGTTTAACAATCCGAATGAAAAATGTTCATGCTGAAACAAGACCTACATAGCCGCCAAGCAAAGCCAAAATTGATGATATAAGATAAGCACCTAATACAATATTTGGTTCTCCGAACCCACGTAATTTAAGGCGGTAATGAAAGGGAGGAATCCTCAAAAGGCGCCGACCTGCTCCATGGAAGCTCTTCGTTATCTTTAAGTACAATACCTGGTATAATGAAAAGAAAGCAAGAAGATATTAAAACAAGCACTTTTACTTGTGAAATAACGAATGATACCACCTTGCAATTCCTAGTTCTACGTACAGGTCAGTCAGTAGTAGCGTCGACATGAATACGTATAATTTGAAGATATGTTGGATAGTCTTAATACAAAATAAAGTATAAAATTGCTGTTGAGATTTTAACTCAGTTGTTTAGCATACATATTCCAATCATAGGGTCAAGGAGTTAAATACTTATTCAGAGGACAACATGAATGAAATGATAAAAGATACCAAATGCCTGTCTACATGGAACAGTAATTATTTTTTCCTAGTTTAGAATGTGGGTTAAATATAACTCAAGCCACCGAATCACCAACTACCTCTTCCATGACTAGCAGCATCTTTGCTCATCCACCATATTCACTCCTTCCAATTTTTTATTTTAATCAAACCAACCTTTCAATGTCAATGGAAGCCAACATTACGAAATCTTTATTACTCTTACCATTTCAATGGACATTCAAGGGTTGACTTAAGGAAGTTAATCTATAAATTTTTCAGCATTATCTACTTCTGCTGCAGCTCTGATTCATCCTTGGCATAGGCAATATTCTCTTTATGCTACAAGTGAAGAGAACTGGATCTTGCACCAATCTACTTCATCTTCCCCAATCCTTTTCACTTATTTGTTGAACCATGTCTATCATTTCTCATGAGCCAACCATATTCAATGTAAGACATTCTATTTTTTTATGGGATTAAAAAAGTGTTAAGTATAACATGGAAAGAAAACAAGCACTTTTAACGTCGTTTGGTTGACGGAGAAAGTGTTTGTAATGAAATTATAACTAATAGGAGATTTTCAATAGATCTAAAAGAAAGGGTATTATTGAGTGCAACAGTTAGGTCATTAGAATTTGACCTAAAATAATTAACAGTTGAGCTTCCTAGCTAATAGACCATGTCCAAAATGAATAAAAGAAGCAATTTCAAACTATGATAAGTACAATTGAAAAGGCAATCCTTACTTTTAAATGACATTTATTAACAGAAACAGTTGAGTTAAATCTCGTGCTTAGACGGAAAAAACAATTTAAATGAGAACTTCTATAGATAAAATATAAAAAGCAACCGAAATAAAAATTTAGAACTTTGTAATGGCCCTCAACATCGCCAATGAAAGTGAGAATGAATCTCCTTTAGAGAGCAGTTGAGAATCAAAAGTGGAGGTTAAAAAAAAGAAAGTTTCTGAGGAAAAGGTTAAGAAGTTTCTGAGTTGCTTCGAACTCAGTGAATATGACATAGTTTATAAATTTGTGCCTTCTTCCTTCTCACACCCTTTTTACCTACCAATAATCCATGTAAATTAGAGAGATAAACCAATAAAGGTCCATAAAGTTATCATAGCCATTGCCTCTCCGTCTTAATTATGGTTATCTCAAAGAGCAGGGTAAGCGTCACATGCACTTGAAACGATTGGAATAAAATTCATTTAGAAACAAACTAATGGAATGCCTCTGAGACGTGTTTTACTGATAGAAGAAAAAGAAAATTCAAACTATTCACTAATGTATGGAGGCATTTCAAGCATGGGACGGACCTGAACGATAACTGATGATGACTCAACAATGAAAACTCCGGAAGAAATGAGTAGTGGGAAGAACATTCCAGTACATGCAGCCATTGCTGCTAACCCAGCACCAAGTGCCAAAGATCCTGTATGACCCATAAATATAGACGCTTTGTATCTGTTGTGTAGAAGAAATCCAACACAAGATCCAGCCATTGATGCTCCAAATATAGCAAGATCTGGTTTGGCATGTTCACAAAAGAAAAACAAAAAATATCAAAAGCATGTCTTTGTAATCAGTACATATTAATTCTACATAGCACTAAAAATGGTCATTTTTGGTATCATGATACAAAAAGCAAAGTTGGTACGGCATCATTACTAGGTCTTAAGATAACTGACTGATATTTCCGTTTCTGACCAGTGACAGCAAGAATTTGTATCATCACGTGAAAAATAACCAAAATTAATTCTAGAAATAATGATGGAGCATTAAGAACAGAAGGAAGATCGATGTATCTTCAATTGACCATGGAAATAATTGCTATAAAGAGAACTGAGATTTCCCCTTCTGATCAGTGACAGCTGGAATGAATACCACGATGTTAAAAATCCAAAATGAATTTAGATCTAGATGGTGATAGTAAATAAAGACTCAAGAGCATCTAAACATAAGGAAAAAAAAGGCATCTTTTTAATTGATCATGAAAGACATTGTCATTTTAGAAAGCTGAAGATGTGAAAGTATAGAGAAACTACCAGCAAAATAAAGCCAAAGATATGGCTTCTGTACAGTTTTAAAACAACTGCAATCTTACGGTAAACAATTTTTTAACCAACTTTTACTTTTAACATTTAATATAAAAGTATATTATTTTAGGGGATGAAAGAGATTCGCACAGTTTACAAAAGGATCTTATATGTGCTACGACTATGATTTTAGGGGAGAGGTCAGTGTTCTGTCTTCAGTAGCCAACTTAAGATGTAACATGATTATACACGTGTTGATATTGGTTTTAGCACTGTTTAAGGAAAAAAACAATAATATTGGTTATAGTAGTTTGAACACGAATAAAGAAGGTCACTCTGAAAGTAGATTGCATGGTGTTTAGAACTGTGAAAAGGGAGCAAGGAGACCAAGACAGGCATTGGGGAGAGTTGTTAAAAAAGATCTCATGGTAAACAATATCCTTGAAGATCTGGTCACTGAACCAAATGGCGTAACCTACCTCAGCTAGTGAAATAGGGTTTTGCTATTGTAGTTGGTGTAATCTACATAGTCCTTTTTTACTTCCTTTTATTGATTATAGAACTGCAATGATTTTAAGAAAATCTGGCTCAAAGGTATTTTAGAAGTCCACGTTTGACTAATAAGAATGCTACTAACCAGAACATACTGGAAGAACAGCTATTGACATTCCAATAAACGCCAATGCAGCAGTACCTCCAGCTAGTCCATCAAGAGCATCTGCTAATTTAACACCATGTCCCATGGAAACGAAACTAAATGATGTCAAGAGTTGGTAACATCTTCCCAAGTACACAAGGCCCAATGGCAGAGGAACCAGCATCTTCCTGCATGTAAGTAAAGAAAATAAGAAGGAAAATCGTGTGATTTGTTACCAGTCAATAAAACAGATAAACAAAAAAAGTCTCACTTATGGGCATCTTCATTTGCATTTTACAATTTACACTGTGTAAACATATTATAATGAAACTTGAAATTTTTAGCTTTCCAAGAGTGTTTTAAGACAATTTTTTTCTATTTTAATGTCAAGCAAGGATGAACCTGTGTGTAAAAATGGGCAAGCGTCCAAAAAAGATCTTATATAGTTGCAACCCCATGAAATTAATTTCCCTCATCCCTCTTTTAAAATTTTTAAGCAAAAACCTCAACTAAAAATTTTCTAGTTCCAGCCAGAAGTAGCATTTTCAAAACAACTTTACCCATGGTCCAACAAAAATAGAAAACATAAAAATCACAAAGCATCAACATGATGGAGGATATCTTATTCTCCCTTTTGGGTATGATTCCCATCTAAGAACAAAAATGTGGTTGTTCATTATAATAGCATTGTTAGATCCATCAATACATAAAATATTGTCCATTTTGGAACTTTAATCTATCAAGGATTAAAAAGAGAAGATATAAACTATTTTTAGTTTCAACTCTTAAACGATGTGAGATTTATGAATATATACCATAATATAGTCCGCTAGTTGAGAACTAAGAAGTAGGAGTGGATCAAAATTATATCTTCGACTCTATGGTGAGTGCCAAGTTCTATTTAGGAAAAAGAAGTATGATGGTCTCATGTCCGCCATGATAATATTATTAGACTAATACACTCTAGTTTCTAGACAGAATATTGACGTGCAACATGGCCTTAAAACTAGAGTTTTGGTTCACTCTAACTCCTTTGTCTTTAACTGAGAGGCTATATTCCAATATATACTCATAAGTCTTACCATTTGGGAATGAAGGCCAAGGATAGTTTTCATATATTTCCTCTGTTAATTCATTGAGGAACAAAATTGTGACAGACTAGAGCTTCAAAGCAAAAAATATATTGAATATGGTAATAGAAACACATTATCATCCGAGTATCATGACATCAGGTCAAAATACAAATACATTATAAATAAATATATTAGCATTAAAGAAAATGATAAATATTGATCAGAATAAAATATCCAACAAGGAAAAATTTTGGTATTGGTGTAATCTATATAAAGTGTGAAGACAATTCATCTAAAGACAAAACACTAAAAAATGTAACATTAAACTACAAAATTTATGTTCATTCTTTGTTTTCCTTTAGATCACCCAATAATTTATGTGACACTACATTATAAATAAGTATATCCATAGTAAGCAAAAGGGAAAAAAATGATCGGAATAAAGTATTTAGCAAGGGAAAAATCATTGTGTTGATGTAATTATAAAGTGTGAATATGGTTCATTTAAAGATAAAATACTAAAAGAAGTATCATTAAAATATAAAATTAATCTTCATTCTTTGTTTCTTGAGATCACCCAACAATTTTTGTAATACTACATTATAAATAAGTATATTCGTTGTCAACAAAAGGTAAAAAAAAAAGAAGAAGATCAGCATAAAGTATTTAGCAAGGGAAAAATCATTGTATTAATGTAATATATAAAGTGTGAAGATAGGTCATAGATAAAATACTTAAAGAAGTAACATTAGACTTCAAAAATTAATTCTTTGTTTTTCTTGAGATTACCCAACGATTTTGGTAACACTACGTTATAAATAAGTACATCCGTAGTAAGCAAAAGACAAAAAAAATTTATCAAGATAAAGTATTCAGCAAGGGAAAAATCAGTGTGTTGATGTAAATCTATAAAGTGTGAAGATAGTTCATTTAAAGACAAAATACTAAAAGAAGTATCATTAAAATACAGAAATTAATGTTCATTCTTTGTTTTTCTTGAGATCACCCAACAATTTCTTTATTACTACGTAATAAACAAGTATATTCGTAGTAAGCGAAAGGCAAAAACAAAAGATCAGAATAAAGTATTAGCAAGGAAATCATGGGGTTGATGTAATCCATAAAATATGAAGATAGGGGTCATTTAAAGAGAAAATACTAAAAGAAGTAACATTAAACTACAGATATTAATGTTCATTCTTGTTTTCTTGATATAACCCAACAATTTCTGCAACACTACGTTATAAGTAAGTAAATTCGCAGTAAGCAAAAGGCAAACAAAAACATCGACCAAAATAAAATATTCAGCAAGGGAAAAATCAGTGTGTTGTTGTTATCTATACAATGTGAACCTAGTTCATTTAAAGATAAAATACTAAAAGAAGTAGCATTAAACTACAGAAATTAAACGTTCATTCTTTTATTTTATTTTTATACCACAACAATTTCTGTAACACCATGTAATGAATAATGCAACTCAGATATAACAATTAATGACTTAACAAGTTTATTATCAAAGTACGATTGCTGCATTTGATTTTAACTTAAACATTTCAGATAAGGTTAAATTTTTGTTTATGTAACTTAACTGTAAGAAAAAAAAAAAGAAAAAGATCTTCACATGTATAATGAGTTTTTCACTCAAGGAAAGAAGGGGCAAAAAGCCATGTTTGCAACTGTCTGTGAAATGCATTTTATGAGACAGATATGTGAGTTACCATCAGAAAAATGCTGATCAGATGAGTTACAAGAAAGTATACATGCCATAGGGTGAAGATATACTGGTGATGTCCAACCAAAACGAAAACCACGTTCCAACAGCTACCTGTTTGGTATAAAAAAATGCAGATTTAATAAGAAATAGCATAGTTGTGACAGGTTAGAACAAAAACCCTAATTTAGTTCTAATTTTTCATTTCAACTTAGTCCTTAACATAATTTTTGCAAATTCTGGTGTCTCATTGTAAGGCTGATTTTGATTGCAAAATTGAGGCATGTCTGTACTAGTAGGCAATTCAATTGCAGAAACTGGTTTGTGAGGTAAATGATGAGAAAACTATCACTGGTCATTGTTTGGGGGTGAGGGATCAAAACTCCAAAGCAATGCTTCTAAAATAAACATAAACCAGTCACCTCCAAAAGAACTTCTGTCAATGCAGGCAAACCCCTCCAATGATTGGTGAAACTTAATATATCACTAAGTAAACCAACTGCAGCAAATGCAATAGTTGCAGCAGCTGCCCCAGACACTTCTATTGACGAGGATCTAGCAAAGACATGAGCAACAATTATACCAATAGGTACAAAAAGCAAACCACCCAATGTTGGCGTACGCTTTTTCATTTGATGTCTAGCAGGCCCTTGTTGCTTGATTACATGAATAATTTTAAAAAGACGAAAAATTGGGACACACACATAGCCAGCAAAAGAAACCAACAAGGCTGATATGAGAAATGGGCGGGTCAAGTAGAATGGTGATAACGGAAGTCTAACAATTCTCCATGCACACCAGTCCACATACAAAAGCAGTAATATCAAGACAACTATAAGCCCCATAGTGATGAAAATTCCAAGTTTGGTCCTGCAAACACATTAAAACCTGAACTGGGTTACCAAAGCAACACACTAATGGAGCGGTAATTTGTAAGGATTCAAGTAATATATGGCAGGAAAAGGCTATCAAGCATTAAGTTAGCACTATACTGAAATGCATTTTCTAGGATACCAATTTTCTAGGATACCATTTTCTAGGATACCATCTACCACCATACACAACATGCTTGTGATTTTGTGTATGCGGAAGCTTTAGTGAGTTTTCTCTGCCTACCTAAATCTATTTAAAAAAATTGAAAATTTTGTTGTTGGAGCCATATCAGAGCTGTGTCCACAATATGTCAAAGCCAGAAAAATAAGTCCAACACTAAAATTATATTGTCTGACGTGTGTCATATGAGTGTCAATTCAATGACTCAATATCCACCAAGAGTTGGACACCCGGACACAGCTTCAACATGCAGGGTCAGTGCTACACAGATCATACCAAAATTCTGTAAACCATGTCATGCTATAAAAAAATAGTTTCAATGTATGAAATATTCAGATCGACAAATAAGAGATATCCAAATCAACTATTTGCATAAATTTCTACATACTTGCCTAGGTTTCTTTTGTCCCCTCCCAAGGGTTGCAAACCGATGAGCAGCCACTGTTAGAGCATCATTATTTGATGCAGAAACAGAAGGCAAATCAATATCATTAACCGGAGTGAGAAAAATTTCACCATCACTGTCTTCCCCGTCACTGGAAGAGAGCACATACACAGAACTCTCATCGGTATTCCAATCATCAAGCATTGGTATGTCAAACGAATCCTGTAAAAGACAATAAATGTCATGACACTGAATCGGCATAGATAAATCACAATTATTGGCAAAAACTTGACCTGCTAGAGCTTCTAAGGGAACTCGCTAAGTTAAATTCCAGATATAAACCCTTGTAACCGTATCATGTGAAAATATGCACGATATATCATATAAGTTTCACAAGAATCAGTACTCAATCATGAGCACTTGTTTGTCAAAAGACAAAACTCTGGTGCAATTCTTAATGTGCTTTTGGCGTTTTTGTCCTATCAGATTATAATTTCACCTTGACGATTAGCATGATAATGATTTGCATTTAGCACCTAAGCATCAAAAGCCCCAAATTCCCAACATCGTTAAATGTTAGCATTTATTACTCATACAAATGTTTCTTTAGATGATCAAAAACTATCATCTCTCTAACTAAAAATTACAGACTAAGAGACTATGGTTTTAGACTGTGAGAACAGCAAGCACCTCGATTGAGTATATTATTAAGAATCGTCAGAGTAAAGCAACTAAAGCCGTAGACATAAATAACAAAATTGTAAATGGTCGAAAGTAATAATCTCTCAAACTAAAAATTACAGACCACGGTTTCATACTTTCAGACGGCAAGCACGTCGACTGAGTATATTACTAAGTATCGTAAGAGTAAAAACAGAGAAAATAAAATTGATTTTCAAGAAGCGAGAACGAACATCGTCTAAGGCTCTCGTTGGAAAGACATTACGCCGAACAACGCATTCATACTGCTGAATGATCAACGGATGTAACTGCATAAAAGGAATTAAACGATGAACAGATTACATTAAATCACATTATTGACGCAATTCGAAATTCGGAAACACTGAGCTCAAGAGTAGAGTACCTGGAGAGTAGCGCAACCGAAGCGGGAGCGGGAACAACATGTGAGAGAAGTGGTTTGCGGGAGAGAAAGGCGTTTGTTGCGAGAGAGGTGGAGAGGGAGAGAGAGATGACGGTGGTTGAGGATGCGAGAATGAGAAGGCATGGATACGATGCGCGAGAGAGAGCGTTGAAGAGGAAGTAGATCTGAAGGAAATGGTCATGGGAAGAAAATGTGGAGCGGAATGGAATGGACGCAAGCATATTCCATGTTAGAGCATTTTATGTAATCAGGGAGAGAAAGCGTCAAATGGCGGTACTTCGAAATCATCGCGTCGGGGAAACGGTTTGGTAGGTTGTGTTTTGTTCACTGTACATGAAAATGAAGGAAGTGTTTGGCAGTGAAATAAAGATACCGACTGAGGGGTAGTAACTGTATCAGACACAAAAAATAAAAATAAAAATAATAAATAATATATATATATATATATATATATATATATATATATATATATATATATATATATATATATATATATATATATAAAGTGTTTTATTAAAGAGGAAAATGATATTGTTATTAGAAGTTCACATTATTCTGACTTTATTCTTAATCTTATTAATATTTTTAAAATTTTAATAATTTGAAGGAGAATTAAAAAAAATATATAAATAATTTTATATTAATTCAGGCTTTCTTCTACGAATAATGTTTATGATTGTTATATTTATAATAAAATTATGGAAACACAAATATTGGGTATTTACATTTGTATGTTATTTTAATACGTTCAAAATTAACGTTTTATTTAATACTAATATTATTTATACATTTATAAATAAAGTTAAAATATTATTAATTTAATTTTATATATTATATAAATATGATCAAATAATAAAATATATCATTTAATATGTAGTATATTTTTATTATATATAAATAAATATTAACAATAAAATATTACGATCTGTATTATAAAAATGATATAATCATATAACGGGCAACGAGTCATAAATATTATGGATGTTTTGAAAAATTATATAATAAAGATGATATAGTATTATTTTTTTAGTGAAGACGTTCTATAGTCATTAATTTATATATTTATTTAATAATGAATTTTTTTAAATCTATTAAAATATAGGAAAAAAAAACGTTATGAAAAGTGAGTCGTGCTGATACGAGGAAGTGTTAATGTGGACTTTGAGAGAAGTGGTGTTGGTTAATAGACAGGGAATGATGAGGGGAATAAACTTAATTGATTAATAAATAAATAAATTAGATTTATGTGGTTTTTTTTTTATTTAGTGTGCATTTTATTTTTTTTATTTTTTTTTTTTACTTTTTCAAATATTTTATATTTTTTTTCCTATTTTGTCTTTTAACAAACAAACTAGTAAACAAGAAACAATGGAGTTAAGAAAATGAGGATTTTTTTGTCTGTTAGGTTACGTGATAACAGATGATTTTTTTTCTTCTAAGTATGTGGTAACATGATTTTACTCTTATTTAGATGAGAATAAGAAAAAAAATATAATATATATTCAATTATTATTTTTTTATTAAGGTTAATTTTTTTATTCTTGTAAAATAATTTACTGAATCTTTCCATTTTCTTTAATTTTCTTCTCTAATAATATGTTTGGTTGTATACAAATTAAGAGAGAAAAAAATTCAAAAAAATAAAAATATGGGAAAAATAAATGGGATTCGCGAACAAAATAAACATGTCCTATACTTTAAAAGCAAAAACAAAATGTCCTATACTCGATTATAATAGATTCTCTTCATTTTTTTATAATTATATTTATTTATATAATATGTACTATTGTAATAAAAAAACATTATTTATAAGTTTAATTAGAAAACTTTATCCCTTTATCAAATTAAATTAATTTTATCATTGATAAAATACATAATTATACAACTTCTTTTTACTCAAAAAATAACGTTATAATCGCTCTCTATCTAAAAGTAATAATAAAATGTTCATTCTCTCGCTATTAACATTTTTTTCTTTTTACTTTGTCACATAATCCTTTTAAAATAATTTTTCATTAAATTATTTATGCTTTATTTTTTTTATTATAATAAAAATGTAGACATACAAAAGTGAAATATAAAAAAAAAAATATATATATATATATATATATATATATATATACATATATATATTTATATACACCGAAGAAAAGCTAAATCAAAAATACCTGGAGTTAGATGAGAGTGGGCACGTGGAAAACGTGGTTTCGTTGCAACCATTGAAGAGTAGTAACTGTCGTAAATGGAAAGTGGGGAACTTGTAGTCTATGCTTGGGTTTGGCACTTGAAGGTGCTGTCTTTGGCTGGAGTTAGGCTTTTGCAGGTGATTCAAGTTCAAACTAAGTTCTGAATTCAACAACTTTGATCTGTATACGTTTCTAACACATCTTCCCTCACGGAAAAGATGTTTCCAAATTTGCCATAAATTCCTGATTCTTCCATGTGGCTTTGCTTTTCAACTGTAAGCTGCTTCTTTAACCGGGCTATTTCTCGGCTTTTGGAAACCTCAATTCATTATTTATTAAGTTTAACATTTAACACACCCGAATTCCTGGACAAATACATATTCAGCTATTTCTACCAAATATATATTGATCCATATTTTAAATAAAAGGAAAAAGGAGAGAAAAATTACTAGATTATTCTGCAGAAAAACAGAGATGCGACGGGAAAATATATTGATCCATAAAAAATTTGCAAGTTAAAACTATAAGAACTTACGAATACCATTTTCAACATCATCTTGATCAAACAGTTTTTCTTTCTTGTATTTCTAGTATAGTACACATTTAGAAAAAAAAGATTAAACATTTATATAAAACAATTGTAAAAGTATATTTTCTATTAATCGTTATAAATAAAGAAGGAATAAAAGAACAATTATGAAGGAAAATCTGCTACAGTATGTTTCAAATTTTCAATATAGACAAATAGGCAACCTTTTCAATGTTGGAAATTTGATGCTGCATACAAAATCTAGAAAACCAAAATTCATAATGGCATTGAGTTTAATTTTCAAGTTGGCATATTTTAAAATAATTATTATAAAGCTATTAAATTTATCATCGACAAATGGCATGTAATTAGAATGACAATATACAAAACTATACACCGTGATGTTAACTGCACTCTATCCCATTTCAATTTTTATATTAAAAATGAATTGTTCTTATTCTTTCCATGAGTACCAATGTTTCAAAAACGAAGCATCCAATTAGTAATGATGTCCACCTACAAATTTTTCATTGAATTAAACACATAGCTTTCTTTCATCTCCATTAACAAATTTCTGGATATGATTGTTACACAGATTCCTCGTAAGGTAAGGATTACCGACATAAACAGTTCTATTTTTCCCAGCCTAATAATATTCTTAAAATGGATATGTACTTCACCACCAAAACTCGATTCCAAAGATTGAGACAAAATATTCAACAGTCCAACAAACCCACATTGACTCAAGCATATACCCAAGTCAAAACTAGTACCATCACTAAAACATCTGACACATAAATACTGCTAAATACAATCCCTCATCTGTGGCGTCAAATCTTGCTGCTAATTCGAAGCAGGGACACGAGGCCGACCTCGTCCAATTGCGAAGCCCCTTGTTCCATCTGGCATTCTTGGTCCAGGAGGTGGCTTAGATACTTCGGCAGCATTACTTGATGGTGTATTTCCATGACCTGGAACAATGAAACATGTTCTGAATACCACAAGGATTCAAATAATAACAATAATAAAGATAATAATAAAAGAACTGCCAAAAATTAAAAAAAAGTACCCATTCCATTTCCAGCACGATGTTTATGTTTTCTTGATCTTCCTTGATTTTTATACCTCTGCCCACCTTTATCCTTTGACAGATGCTCCCCATCCTGAGATGAAAGGAAAGCAACAGAGGCAAATGTAAATAGCAGCACCATTAACAAACAGCACCAACAATAAACGGTTTTGAAATCACGAGAGAAGGATAGCAGCCAATGAACATGGATCTTCTATAGTAAAGTATGTACAGTTCAAAATATTACTTCACTATGTAATAAATTATATTGAACACTTGTAAAAGCAAAAGATGATTTCTCAAGGAAAACAAACCTGGCATTTCCACACAAGAAAATATAGACTAAGAATTTTGTTTTTATCCTTGAAAGACACGGAACCAACACAATTAAGGTTTCAACAAATTACTAACAGATAACTATAGGAGACTGCTAATAGTGAAAAACAAATGCAATACATACCTCTTCCTCGTGTGTATCTTCTTGATGCTCATTTGAACCATGATTTTCCTCATCTCCTATTTCTTCAGATACATGGCTTGAGCTATTCTTCTCAGAATTAGATCCTTTCCAAACTTGTTTTTTGTGTCCATACTTTCCCTGAATCAAAAAATCGTCACCAACACCATTCACAGCCAATTAATCAAATGGGGAAAAAACTGCAACTAACCATACGCTTGAGAAGTTTAACATGCATCCCATTTCTCCAGTCTTGTTCATTATTTAACAAAACCACCTAACACAGGATTGGAGCGGCAAAGACTGGTTAATCATCCAGGCAATTGAAGTCTCAATCATTATATAAAAGTACATAAACAGAAACTCACAGCTTTCTCAGCGGCCTCAATAGTCTCATATTCCACAAGAGCATGTAACTACAATTCATAAGTGACTTACTGTAAGTGCAAAGTTAAATAAGGCACAAATGGCAAAGAATATAGAACCTACGAGTTAATGCTAAATGGCTGATATCTTATTACGGGTAGTTCAAGAAAGAACACAAAATGGTAATCTTATGACTATCTAAAACCTTTTTAAACATAAATATTGGAAAGCTGAAAAATTAACCCAAGAGAACGAGAAGCACAAATTGAAAGTTTCAAATGCCTGCAGAGTCCAGTCCATGTGTCAGCAGGATTGATGATGTTAAATTAATAGATAAGACTAATTTTATATAACCAAATCATGGTGGATGATGAAAGGCATTCTGAATACATAGATCATACTGCGGAGCAAATTTGTGTTAAATCCAAACAAGCACAGAAACTGAAATCCAACTGAACAAGGAATAAGTAAATACATAATTAATAAGCTTTGATATGACAACCCTTGGCTATTTTGAAGAGAATCTGCTAACAACAAGGTAGACATTTACTTAGTTTAAGGGCTGAAAATAGATATATGTAAACTTCCTGTATCTTAAGAAAGAAGAATCATGGCCGCAGGAATTTTCAAAATAATCACCAAAGTGAATCTGAAGATTGACTAACAAGTACAGTGAAGGAATTAATTGTTATGTTCATCATGAGCAATAGGGAGAAAAGGTCTCTTTCTCTATTTGTTCAAGGTGGAGGGCCAGACAGGCATCACCCAATAATACATATTTTTCACTACGTAACCCCAGCTGGACTTTTAGAGACAAAAGCCATTAAAGTACGTAATCACTATCCACATTAGAAAAAACAAAGGGACTTTTAAAAGGAAAAAATATAAAATGCAGCAGTATTATAATTCATTAATGAGACAGCTGAAATCTTCAGAATGGAAATTTGGGTAAGAGCAGTACAAATTTAGGGTTAGCTGTTAATATTAGATGGTTTCATACCTTATTACTGATTAATATTTCTTGCTTGAGATGTTTTGTGGACTCTGAAGTAGAATGCGGGTCATGAATTGTTATCCTCTTTATACTGTACATTAAAAGAAATGTTAACATCATTGCAGATTTGAAAGCATGGAACACGGACACAACTTAAGGAAGGAATCATACTTTCCAGCTTCATGGAATATTCGTTGAATGTTCTTCTTTGAATGATCCTCTGGCAAATTCTCTACCAAAACAGTATATAACTAGAGCCCAAGAATAAGATGCAGGATACAAAAGTAAAAACCAAAAAATAGTAGCAATCTCCTTGAAGTAAATACCTTATGATCTCTAGATTCACTGAAACGAAGAGGAATAAGCCTCTTGACCCGTTTCCCATCACCACTGACAACCTGCAGTCCCCATGAGAATTTTTTTCTTAATACTTTAAGTATAGATTGCAATGCAGTTCATGATGAAAAAACAAGGAAGGAAAAATCATACAAGCAGTGAAGACTCCTTCAGAGCAGCAACAATAAATGCATGATCTCGAGTGAGCTTCTTTATTTTCCTAAAAGAAGCAATTACTGATACAGGAACTGCATGATCAGAAAGTAAGATTAACTGATAAGATATAAAAACATAAGCTAGAATGCAATGGACAAATAATTATGATAACTTTTAATAGAACTAGGATTAGCTAAATTTATACAAAAATCAATAAATTCTTCATTACTTATCTGAATAAATCACAATTAAAAAAATTTAATGCATGCAAAACTGCAGGTATATGTACATCACTAGGATTGCTTTTCAGATTAATACATGCAAAACAACAACACTCATTCTGCCAAAATTTCAGCAACGTTTACATATAATGAAATACTAGGGATCATCATTGATTGTATGATGTTCAGTTTAGTGTATGTATATGTGTATATATATTGAAGGTGGGGTGCTACAATTGCCACACCTCTTAATCCACACCAGCGATCATCAATCACCTTGTCTATCACGAATTTCAATACATCACCTTTAGAAAACATCTTTGGAAAAACAAAAACACGGAAATAAGCCCATTTAACTTATCATCATCCATAAAAAGAGGAAGTACGCCTTATGATCATTGCCAAATACATCTTTTTCCCCTATCATCTCAAGGAAAGAGAGTATGTCCATCCCTATTCATCAAGTAGTATAATTGAAAAACTCGTACATAAGAAAATAGTACTTAATGAGTCATTTAAATATAAAGGTTTACAAAATCGTCCAACTGCCTATTCAACTTATTAATACTTAATAACGTCATGTATATAAGCAGAGTAAACAGCCAGGGAAGTTTAGAAACGAGAAGATCCAATACATAACTTCCCTAGGTATCTCCCACAAGATATATATTACACATAACCCAGATTATTCCACACTTCGTACTAACATTCAATTTAGTAGCAACCTATTCTAATATTCAAACTTCAGAAAAGCTCGAAAAAGGTTAAATAAAAGGAATACACACAACATAAGAATCGGCGAGGACGTAAATCAATCGGAGATCAAATTGGTCAAAGACACATAAAAAGATGTATCCCTTACCAAACCCCTCCTTGTTCCGCTTGACAAAACCCAACAGATACTTATCATTTGGCAGGTTTTCATCGCTGAAGTAATACTCCACCTGCAAAATCAACAAAATAAGTCAAAAAACAGAAACACATTAAACACCGAAACAGCAAAACCTAGTACACACGAAAAAACTGATTTTTAAGCTTGCAGGTAAACATATCAAATTAAATTTTCCATATACGATAGAATAGCAATTCTCACTCTTCATTACAATAAGTCGGTATCAGAAAACGCGAATTTCGCATATATAAAGCAATTTATCGTTTGAGAATAGCAAAAAGGGAGAAGAGGCGTTACCTGCTTAATGATCTTGAGCTTGAGATCCTCCAAGGAGACAGCGGGCACAGCGGCGTGATCGCGGTCCTCTAGGTGGTGGTCATGGTCATGCTCGTCCTCGTGCTCGTGGTCATGGTCATGCTCGTGACCGTGCTCTTCGTCAGAAACCAGCGCATGAATTTCAGTTTCCGCAACGGCGAGATCGGGACCACCGACGGGATCGACGAGAGGAGGAGGCGAGGTGGTGGGATTAACGACGGCGGCGGTGGCCGAAGGGGGAACCTGTTCGCCGCCTTCCATTGAGGAGAGAAAAAACTCTCCCCCGCCTTATATTCCGGTCTTTCTGTCTCCACAGTGTTTATGATTCTCAGATCAGATCTTTTTATAGGCAGAGATACTTGTTGACAATTTGCTTCGGTCACCACCATCGCGTTCAAATCGAGGGCATTGTTTTCTTTCATGGGTAAATCAACCGTTTTTTTTTTTTTTTTTTTTCATTTTTGGTATATTTTCCCCCTAACTTGTTTACAATTATGGGTATAAATGTTTTTGAAGAAAATTTATAAATGGCTTTTAAAGAAAAAAATATGTATTTTTCATTTCACTGCGAAAACTTAATAGCGCATTAAGTTTTTACTTAATCAACCAAATTTTTTTTTAGTAATTATGATCAAAGTTAATAAATTTAGAAAAAAATTATGTAGTTTTCGTTTCATTTTTCAACAAAGAAAACATAATAGCATGTATCTTCGTAGCATTTCTTATATGATTAACTAATTAAATGATTTTTGGTAAATCTTTAAAATAATCTTTACATAATTCTTAATTTTAATGATGGGTGATGAAAAAAATATTTTTAAAATATGTTTAAATTTATTCTGTAATTTGTTAATATTTAAAAAATATATATTTAATAGTGTTAATAGCTTATTTTATAAGTTTAATTTCTCTGATGTTAATAAAAATTAATAGTTAAATAAATTTAGAGTAAATTATTTACATACTTTACATTTTTAATTAAATTTATCTATTTAAATTAATTTTATAAATAAATATATTTTTTTTCCTTTTTTTCTCTTTTTCATTTGTTTTATTTTAATTTTTGATGGTGACCAACTCATCGCCCACCCATAAATGGGACGGGCCATGGCTGTTTTGTTCTTTTTCTCACACATCAAACTTTGATCCGATATCTTTGCATATAAAACTTTAACTTTAGTCACACCCCAAAATTATAAGAAAAAGTCTTCACCAGCGAAAAGCACGAATGACACAGCTAAGACATTTTTCATTTCTCAAAGCTTGAAACTATAGACTATATAAACTTAAGGCCAGTTCACGAACAACAGTGTTGACATGGAGCATGTACCTTTACCTACACCCTGAACCCAAAGTAACCTATTATGCATGGTAACAATAAAAAAAAGGAGACCCAAAGAAAGCCTTTTACATAAGAACCAAAAGAAAGACCAAAATGGCAAGCCCAAGTCTGAGTGAGGCGAGCCCAGGAAGCCCGTTGGAGGCAGAAAACCAGACCCTGACATCATCGACCACAGGCCCACATAGAGAACTCATGTCATCACTTCTGGTGTTGTAGTATATGCTGTAGAAGGCAATTCTAGTCCTCTCAGCCTTGGCAGTGAAATTGAGATTGGAAATTTGGAAGGTAGAGTTGGAATTGGGAGTGTAATGAATGTTCTGAGCTTGATCACCAGCAAAGGCCATGACAGCAAGAGGCTCCTTGCATTTGTCATTAGCATGTCCCAGTGAGAAGGTTAAGGTGTAGAGTTTGTCTGGTGAGGTCTCAACCATTTGGGAAATGATGCCTTCCTTTCCTGAGAGCAACTCAATGGCTCTTCTGCCTTGTGGAACCGAGTAATGGTCAGAATCTATGTAGCGGACGGCACGGTTGGATTCCACTATCCAACCGGGCAGTGAAGAAGTTTCTTCATCCAAATTTGTGGGAAGCAACACACCCAGTGAAGTATTCGTAAACATCCATGGCCCCTCTTCGAAGTCCCCATTGATCACCGCGTTGTCTGCACATCTCAACACAAGTACACCATTCAATGCAGCCTCAAAAATTGGATTTAAGTGAATCTAAATATGGTGATGAAATGAAAAAGTGAAAGAAAAGAGGGAAGAATGGGACACCTTTGGGCCTATCAGGGGTGAAAAGCTTTTTGATGGCGATGTTGTCAATGATGGGGCCACAAGTGGGGTCATCCTCCATCCCGGGATTCTTAAAGACCAACCTAAGGGTGTCCTCATCAGCATTGAAAGAAACCGCGTAAGGATTCCAGCCCTGGACGTTGTACAGTGTCTGGAGGTCTATGGTCTGCGATGCAGGCGGAACCGACACGTTGAGGGACTCCAGCTGTGCGCACGTGCGAGCCGCACAAAACGTCACCGAGTAAATCGAACCTTTCTCCACCGCTACCTCCTGGCTGATCTCGGCGTCATTGCCCAGCCTCACCGCGTGTCTACCCTGCGGTACGATGAGGATCATCCCACCCTGTTTCTGCCCCGACTCCACCAGCTCAACGGTGCCGTTTTTCTTCCACTTTGGTACTTCGCTCGGCCCCTCCACTATCGCCTCGTTCGGGAACCCATTTGATGGGGTAGCCTCGAAATCTCCATTCTCCACTAACCCTGCATACATGATCACTTGTTTTTTATTTTCATCACATTTTAATAGCTCATACTTTAAACAATAACTAAACACTCCTTTTAATGATACGTGCAATCTTTTCCCTTAAGCTAATAGATTAAGTTTAGTTCAAGCCTGATTCTTAATTCTAATCAAAATAACATAAAACAAAGTAAAGTTAAAAAAGCTTAACTCATGGGACCCAAGCATATTAGACCTCCAACATGATTGATTACATTTCAATTTCAAATAATTCGAGGTTCCTCCAAAATCAATACTAGCATCATTCGTTTTCCTTGACAACTTTATCAAAAGACATGGCATAGTAGACAAAAAGTAGCGCCATTATTAACTAGTTTAAGTGGTTAATTATTTAAATCAACAACATCCAAAACAACAGCACAAGTCATGGCCCATCACTGTTTCAAGCAAGCAAAGCATCAAGCATAACATAAATATAATTTATTTTATGGTGATAAAAAGCAATTGTGATGAGTATGGGGCCACATTTTACTCTCCAAGTAAATCCACAAGCACATGTTCCCACCCTAACCCATAAGCAATTCCAAGTTCCAACCAAATGCAATGCAATTTACATTTATGTTGAACTAGAATGTAACATATATCAGCGTCGTTTTGCAGTGATTGCACCTTACCCACACCATACTTTCCAATTTATATCTGGTCCCGTCTCTGCATTTATGTTGTTCACAATAATAGCACCAACTCAAACGTAAAAAACAACAGACTTCCAGTATAACTTGGATTGCCTTATCCAAGAATGGGCCTCGAGGATGTGAAAACCCACATTGGAACAATAAAAGGAGAAAACTTTCAAAAAATGCCAACTTGCGAAGCAGCTTGGAACCACCCAATGACTCAAATATTAACAAAAAAAAGGGATCCAAATAAGGTACCAAACAACAGGTCATCGAAATGAACATGACAACTAGCCAGGGAGGATGAGGAAGATGTGAAGGTAGCAAAAACGACAAAAAAAAAAAAAATACGACGTTGACGAGGAACAAATTGAGGTATGGTCCCATCCAAAGTTATTTCATGTAATCGAGACAATCACTTCTTTATGACCCATTAAATTCTATAAGAAATGTCTCGAAAAAAAAAAAAAAAAGAATTGTGACATTTAACAATGGGTCACATTTGATATCCATGTGGAATAGTGAAAGTCGTAGAGTTTCTAATTCAACCCACTTGAAACCTGAAGCAGCAGGGAGAGCGTGTGGGTCCTAACGCATGCTGCTACTCACTACGCTCCGCAATCCTTTCACTCCGACCAAAGGAGGACGAAAAAAAGCACTTTTTTTTCTTACTGTCTTTATTTATTTAACTGAGCATGGGAATAGACGAGGATAGCGACCTATGCGACAATAATAGTAGTAAAAGTGATTTTGGTGCTTGCGTCCTTTACGGAAAGGTCCTTGCACTTTGGTCAAGATTGAAGAAAAAAACCGCGTTTTGAGTGGCGGGAACACTGTGTCAATTTCGTCATTTCGCATCCCAAGGCTAAGAAGCACCAATCGCAAAAGCTCCTTTGCTTCGGACCCATACATATCCTTCTTTCGTTCATCTCTAGGCCGGTTATAATTTTCCTTCTCCTACTATAACAAACCACTACCTAGTTTCATCTATATTTTTAAGGTAATGTTGTGGGTGCTACCTTTTTTATTTACATTGCTAGTTTCAGTCTTACATGCCACTATGCGTCCATAATTGCACAATGGTGATGTTTTCCGGTGCATTTAGATATCTAAATGTCACAATACCATCTTGTACCCCCTGCCCCAAAAAAAGATCACACACAATCAAGATTTTTATTTGGTACTACAGAGTCAATTCTTGTAATTTAATAAGCTTACATATTACCTAATCTTCACTTCATTTTTATTTTCATCAAACTCCTCTTACCAATAATTCAATGCTCTCGTGTAAAAAATAAATCATACAATGCTACTACTTTTTTTCAGTAAAAGTATGCAATACTGACTTACAGAGTCACACTGAGATAAAGCATCGTCAGAAACTGTTTAGTAAAGTTTCAAGTTTATATTTGAAAATTACTTTTCCTTTTTAGTATCTGTGCTTTACAGATTATGGATCAGAACTAAGAAGCATATAACCCATATAACTTGTTTGCCGTCAAAGTTTTTTTTTTTTTTTTACATTCCATCATTGGATGCAATTTTAACTTACATTCCTGTTACCATGTACTATGGTGGAGAAAGATTAGTAGGGGTATCGCACAAAATTAGGAGCTCCATTCAGTAAATGAAAAATGAAATTACAAACAAAACGGGTCAGAAAAGTGATGATAGCTTGTAAGAAAAAATGGTCATAACAAAGAGAAAGGTGGGCCTTCAGTGTTGAAAATCATGACCATAGTATTCTGAACATTAAGTTCACTTCAGTTCACTTAGAAGGAAAACGCCTTCAATTAAGTTGCAAACAAGTTAAACAGAAAGGAAGCTGTTCCTAAGTTTGAACCAAGAGATTCATTCTCTTCGTTCTAGAAGTGGCACATCCTTAATGTTTAGCCCCAGAACTTAAAAATAGTAGCAGAATCACTGGCGAAAACAGCACCCAGAATTTGCCCCACCCGCACCGAGAAAGCATCAGACACCAATTACTAGCATTTCATCTTTGTACCACATAATGAGAAGGTAACTAAAAACCCACCAAAACCATAGAACAGTTTGCAATAAATGAAGAACATCTATACCAAACAAAAATTGCAAAAGCACCTAGCGATATATCAGATCTCAGCACATAAAAAAGAGGAAAACTTGAAAAAGAAGCAGAGATGTGAGTGAGTGAGGAAGAAGAGGGGCATTACCATCTTCTGCGAAGGTTGTGAGACCCAAGTGGGAAAGGATTAGAAGTGTGAAGATGGAGACCCATTCCATTCTTGTGGAGCTCCGAGCCATCTATCTGCAAGCCCAGAAATATTCTCTCTCTTATACGTGTAGGGTACCACTCTGTTTTTGAGGAGTGCAAGGCAAAGAGAGTTGGGGAGTGAGTGTCCTTTTATCCAAGATTCTCAACAGTGCCAAGGTCTTTTTTTTTTTCCTCTTTGGCTTAGGTGAAACTAGTACTTTATTAAAATAAAGTTTGTTTTAATAATTATTGATACTGTGTTTGACAAAAGTTTCTTCTGATCTGCAGTGTGGACGCGAATATATATATATATATATATATATTCTCTAGTTGTAGCGAGGTACGTTGTTATTTGTGTGGAAAAGAAATTGTATTTATTTTATTTGATGCGAAGCAGAGAGTGTATGTTTTTACGGGTTCTGAGACCCGGTCTCACGGTGGGGCCCTTAATTTCCACTGCCGTTACGCCGTATAACGCCACCCGACAGTATTTATTTATAAGAAGTATGCTTGGTACAGGCAGTGTTCATATTATCGTATATATCCCTTGAGTTTATGTAATAATGATATTGTATTTTAAAACGCGATTTTATGTTTGTTCGGTGAAAAAGAAAAAAAATATTTGTGAATGAAAATTAAAAATATGCAAATGTTAAAAAATAAAAAAGTTAACAAAAATACTAATGAGTATCACCATTTTAATAAAAGTAATTATAGTTTAATTTTTCTATTTTCAAAACATCAACTTTATTTTTTTTCTCCAATAATGTTGTGTTGACAAAGAGTATAGCAAAAAGAAAAATCGAATAAAAACTAATTGAAAAGATATATTATTTGCATAAATAAAATAAAATAAAAACTCCGTGTTTCTTCATGTTAAGAAAATGAAAAAAAAATTTGACCATTTTCTTATATTCTTTACTTTTAAATATTTGAGGTTTTATTAAAAAATATATTAAAAAATATAATATTCTACATAACATCTTGTTGTAAAATTTTAATTATATTAATTAATTTTTATTATTTTTTATTGTAAATAAAATATTTTAAAAAAATCTGGATTGAGAAAAATCATTTATATAAAAGATTGACAAGTTTATTAAAAATAATATTTATCTTAAATAAAATAGTTAAAAAAATTCTGGATTGAGAAAAATCATGTATACAAAAGATTGACAAGTTTATTAAAAATAATATAAAATAATATTTATCTTAATTTGTCTATACAAAGTTTGAACTATTTATTAAAATACGTCATAACATCATACATCACATAAAATATGTCAGATTTAAGAAACAAAGTTGTTTAGGAATTTTTTTATTGAGATGATTGTTTCATTCACTTGCTATAAAAATGTGCTTACTATTTTAACAATTTTTTTTATTTATTGATACAAGTATTCTGTTGTACTCTTTATGAATAATTGCTGTGATTTATGTGGAGATAAGTTAAAAATAAAATATGATTTGTTCATTTATACATTAAAACTACATTAATTTGTATTGAGGTAATATAATGAAATATGATTTTAGTGTCAAGAAAATCACTGGTTGAATTTGATAAATTCATGTCGAAAGTGTGAAACTTTCAATAAATTTTAAGGTTTGATGAATGATAAATGTGGCGGGTGGATGGGGACGATTATGTACAAATGAAGAAGGCAATAAACCTGAATGACCAACTTGCATGGAACCGCCATGCTTCCGGTTTGTTTTTTTTAATTCAACTAGTGTATTTTTTTAATTTTTAAATTATCAAACTTTTAAAATTTAAAACAATACAAAATAAAAACCACCATCCTAATACTGCTTCTATAAGTCCCATGGCAAACCCTAATCAAAGGGCCACCACTATATTACATAATGACCATTCACACATCAACACTAAAGTTTGTTTGAACAAATTTATCATTAAAGAAAAAAAAATCTTTAAAATTGTTGTTAATTTGTTCAATGCTTAATTTAGCATGGATGCTTAAGTCTTTAAAAATAGAAAGATATCTTATCATTATATATATATATATATATATATATATATATGTATTTTAGAGGGTCAAGTCCTTATTTTTTAGATCAGATAAATTAAAAAAATTAAATTAAATTAATATATAATTTTTAAAAAATATTTTCAATTTGTATATTCAAAATACAAGTCGCTTCTTTATTCATGAAACTTAAACATGTAGAGTTTATAATACTTCACATTTTTTTTTCAAGATTTTTAAGTTAATTTTAACTAAAAAAATCTTTTAAAATTTTTGTAAAGATGTTTGCACAAATAAATTAATATTCTTACCGCTGGTCAAATCCAATCACAATGTTTCGACAAATAAAAGTAGAAAGTCTCATTGTTCACATCTAAAAAGACTTTTAAGAGTTTACTTGTTGTCTTAAAGCAGTAATCATAACTATTAGAACCATGTGATAATTTAGTTTAAATGTTAAAAATTAATATTTACGATATTTAATGAACAAGAAATAATTTTCAGAGATTCTTATTCTTTGTAGACCAAGATTTTCTTGTAATTTAAAGGTTGAGATTAAAAGTAAATTATAAATATTTTTATTCTTTTAGTTTTTATATATACTTTTTATAAAACCGTGTTAAAATTACTAAATTTTAAATTAAACAATAGTTTATGTGTAAAAAGTTAAAATTTAGTCAATATTAAAAAAATATAAAATATGTTAATTAAATTATAAAAAATCAAATCGTACATAGATAATTTAAAAATATACAATTTAGCTTTAACTTATACAAAATAATTCAACTGTGGTGAGAATAGGTTTTGGGCTTCAAAATCTTCGATTTCCAGGTGGTATGGGCTATATTTGCGGGCCTAGTGTTAGCGTATACCACGTGCAAGGTCGTAAAGGAAAGCCCGACACCAAGGAACATCATTTAGTTAATTAAGAGGTATATCTCATATATAACAAATTAATATCTTTAGTTCATTTGTTATTTTTAAAAATAGATTTCCAGTTTTAATATTTTAAAAGTAACAAATTGGTTTGTGTTTTTACAATTTTTTTTATTTTTTTAGTTTTAAAAACAGTTTTTTTTTTAATTTAAAGAAATAAGTAAATAAAATCTAAATTAAAAAAAAAACTATTTTAAATTAGTCTCATAGATGATATTTAGATCTTCAATTATATACATATATATATATATATATATATATATATATATATATATATATAGTTGATTCAACTGCTCTAAGAACAGGAATAAAAATCAATTTATTACTTTTAAATAATGATATTTTAATTAAATAAAAATTGATATAAAAATTAATTTATTCATTCTAAATAATTATATTTTAATTACATAAAAAATTAGATAAATTTATGGGTTGAACCTGATAAAAAAATTAAGAATAATTTTTTTAAAGATAATTTTTATAAGAATTATAATATATTTTAGTTTATTTTTTATTTTATATTAATTATATTAATTTTAAATAATTATTTAATTTTAAAAATATTTTATAATATTTTATTATAACTTGACAATAACAATTGTTTCTTATAAATTTATTATATACTTACGATATTATAAAAAATTTATTTTATTAAATTAAATTTTGAAAACCTTTTAAATCTAACTCATGTTTTTATTCATTTCCGGTTCAGTTTTAAAAATATTTATGTAAAAAATAAATAAAAATTAGTAAACAATTTTTTTTTCAATTATTTTTAAAATAGTTTTTCAAAATTAATTTATAAAAATATTTTTAAAATTAAATAAACTCTTATAATATTCTAATATATATATATATATATATATATATATATATATTAATAATATCTTTTACTATTTACGTATAATATGTTACTGAAACATTCTATATAACATTTTCAATAATATCAATTTAAGATACTGATTTTAGATTTATTTTATATTAAATTTAAGTGGCCTCAAAATGTCACGCCATATTTAAATAATTCAAATATAGATTTGTTTCAATGTTGAAAAAAGTTAAGAAACTTATATTTGTATAATTCTTATTTCACTTATTTTTTATTCAAATTAAAATATTAATTTTATATTAAAACTAATAGAATAATTTTAGTAGTAAACAACTGAGTCTTATAGAAGATATGCCATTGTTTTTTCCATAAATATTTTTTTGAGTATTTTTTTTTCTATCAATATATAGGATAAACAATTAATGAATTATGTCACACGTAATATTTTTAAATTTTATTTGCGAGCTTCAACGAGTGTTTTTTTTTTTCAAATTTTCAAAATCGATATTTATCTCGATATTTTCTCACATTTAAAAAAAAAATTAAAAGGAAGCAATAAAAAAAAGAATTAATATAAAAGTTAACAATTCAAATGGACAACTAAATTATTCTGTGCATGATATAGTTAAAAAAAATTGGTAAAAGTATTTATAAAAAATAAAATAAAATTTAGATCCTAGCATTCTGATATGTCAGCAACTTGGTCTTGGGAATTAACAAATTTGTTCCAGTAAGGATGACTCTGCCACACGGTATGCATTTCTTCAATAGGAATTCCCTTCGTCTCTGGCAGAAGTTTGTAGATGAATATGCTCATCACAATGACAAAGCATGCAAAGAAGATGAATAACCCAAACTTCATGTGACAGAGCATTGCGGTGAAAATCTGTGCAATAGCAAAGGTGAAGATCATGTTCGTGGAAACATTCACACTTTGTGCAGCAGATCGAACTTCAAGTGGGAAAATCTCACTTGGCACTAACCATCCTAGAGGACCCCAAGACCATGCAAATCCTGCCACATACACACATATGCCACACACAACCACAATAGCATACCACTTTGGCAAGATTCCTGGATTTCCATTCAATCCAAATTTGCATGCAATTGCCACCGTTACCACTATCTACACCAAATCAAATAAAAGAAGAAACTAATTAATTACACTGTATTCATAAGAAATACTTCAAAAGAATGTGAAATTACGTCAAAAAAGGATTACCTGACAGATAAACATCTGCAACCCTCCTTGTAAGAAAAGAGTGCGTCTCCCAAACCTGTCAACAGTGGCTATAGAGACAAGAGTGGCAATTGTGTTGCAACCCCCGGTGATCATGGCAGACATGAGGGAAGCATTGGCTCCAAAACCGATGGTTTTAAACAAAATAGGAGCATAAAACACGATCACATTCATGCCAGTAAGTTGTTGGAAGAAAGGAATGGCCAAGGCAAATGTGAGTTGAGGCCTATATTGTCTCTTTAATAAAGAGGCCCAAGGGTGTTTCACTGCTTTCGAAGATTCGCTTGCTGCTACAAGATCTTCAAACTCTTGGTCAATATCTGTAGTTCCTCGAATCTTGATAAGTTCTTCCTTAGCCTTTTCACCAAAACCACGTTCAATCAAAGAGCTGGGTGAATCTTGAAGAAATATTGCACCAATAATGATCATGATCGCAGGCACTGCTGCAAAACCTAAACTGTAACGCCACCCTTCTCCATTCTCCATTTTGGCAAAAACGTAGTTGAGAACATTGGCCACGAAGATGCCAATGGTAATTGCCAATTGGAACATCATATTAAGAGCTCCTCTGTATTTGTAAGGAGCTACTTCGGACACATAGATTGGCACAGACTACGAAAAAAATATAATGAGGATTAGAGAGTTAGCAACCCAATTTTTAATACTCATATGGCGTTATGATCAGAATTTATAAAAAAACTGAATAAAAGTTTGGTTTGTTAATTTGAAAAAAAAAATATCATCTTTGAATATAAACATATTACCTGATTAGCACATCCAATTCCAAAACCAAGCAAAATGCGACCAACAATGAGCATCCAAACATGTTCAGCAAAACCATTCAATGCAGCACCCGCAAGAAAAAGCAAACCCCCAGAGATCATGGTGATACGCCTTCCGAAGAGTCTAGTGACAGTGGAGGCTAAAACTGACGCAACAAGTGCAGCCAAATACAAAGACGACGTGAACAACGTCAATGTCTGACTGTCAAATTTGCAGTATTGGTTATCAGAGGGCTTCAGATTATTCTCCTTTTCATACACTTTTGGGAAGAATTTCTTTAGAAAAGGATCCATAGAAGTCACACCACCTACACATGTTCATGTCATTAATAAACAAAACAGTGGTAAATAGATTAAAAACAAAAAATGTTTCCAGAAAATGAATACATACCTGATATACCAAGATCATAGCCAAATATTAGACCTCCAAATGCAGCTATTATACATGTTATGAAAACCCTGAATGTGAGGTTTCCTTCATAGTTCTTTGCTCCAGGAGGACTGGTTGAGACGATACCTCCTCCAGCCATTTTGAGTGATTAAGGAAAGGGAATGAACTTCGGCTTAATTAATGAGACGAAAGAAAAATATCAACTCTTACTTATCACAGCGAGGAACAAACACAACACGAGTGATGGTGCTTTTTCCTATTTATAACCTAAACTCGCGTGATAGTCGTAACTCATTTATTTTTATTTTTTTAAATTTGTTATATTATATTACTTGAATAATAATAATAATAACAACAATGTGACATAATAAATATTTCAAATTAAACAATGTAGTTATAACTCTTTTTTATTAATATAATTTTGAGGTCGTTAAATATATAAATCTAATAATTCACATTTGGTGTTATGCTCATCTTTTATATCTAAATAAAATAAGTAAATTTCACAATTTATCTTTTATTTATTGAAAAAAACCATGATTATTCTAACGGATTTTGGTAATTTGATTTTACTTGCATCTGTTAGATTTAAATATGTTTAAGTATCAACATACAATTGACTCGTTTTGAATAATAATTGTTATTTGAAATTGATTACGTAATAAAAATGCAAGTACATCTCTACTGTTTTATACCGAGTAATAGTAAAAGTCACTCACGTAAAAAAAATTGTAAATGTTACGATTGATTTATGTTTTTTTTCCTGTCAATTAATATCAAATTGATATTTCACATTGCCATATGTGATGTTAATATTTTTTAAATCTAAACTTAGACATATGAGTGAATATATTATATACCTATTACAATATCCAAATTTATGTTCACGTAGATTGAATATTTCAATTTCAAAAATTAAAAAGTATTTTCGTTTAGATATTAATATTTTCAGTTCAGATATTATTCAGTTTATGTAACAAACTTACCAGTTTTTTTTTTTCTTATCTTCAATAAATATAATGTTGTTACAATAACGGGACTTCATCAATCCTCAATGACATCCTTAAATTAAGGATTTAAATAAGGGTAAATATTATATCATTAAGAATATTTTTTAACTGAAAATATAGTCTCTCAACCATTAAGTTCAATAAAATATTGTTTTTGAATTTTAAAATTAAATTGAAAAACATATTCTCTCAACCATTAGATTAAACACACATTATTTATAACAAATTATAATTCAATTAATTGGAGTACAACCCTTATTTATGTTAAATATTTTTTTTATATTCATTACTCATTTTCTTTTAATATAATAGATAAGATAAATTATTATTTTAAATGATTAAAAAAAAATATTAAAATAACAAATAAATTTCAACATTTTTATCTAAAATAAGTGAATTTTTCATCATCCCATTTTATTTTTCGTATCAAAATATGAAAGACGATAGATATTTGTTCCTTCCCACTAGAAAACAGGTGGAGATTAATGAATTGACTCTTCGTTTCTTTAAAATATAAATATTTTTTAAGTTTTTATTTATTATTAATATCTTTTATTAAATAAATTAATAAAATTATTAAATTAATTTATTAAAATATTATATTATAAATAATAATTTAAATTGATTTATTAATATTTATTATGTAATTAATAATATTATAATATATTTATATATTTTAATAATATATAAAAAAGTAATAATATTTTAAATTTTATTTTATTAAATATTTTTAAAAATATGTCCATCTTAAATTCATCAAATAAAGAAATTATACATAAGTAAAACAAACTAAACCTAATAGGTTAACCCGTAATCTGCCTTAAAAATGGTGGGATAAGTTGATAGTATTTTGTACCACCAATCCAGCAAGATAAGAATGGAATGGGCTGACTCACTTTAAATAAATATTTATATATTAAAATAAAAATAAAAAGAATTATAATTAAAAAAAATAGTTTTTTATATTATATTATTAAAATATATAAATATACTATAATATTATAATTTAAATTATAAAAATTAATTAGGAGATGGATGGAGAACCATTCGAGGTTTACTTGGTAGAATGTTGGTTGAATGAATGACAGTTGGAGAAGATAAAGCTCAAAAGGGACCCACCAATAAGGTGGGCCGTTCTTGCTCCAGTAGAAAATAAAAAAAGAAAGTGATGAAGCTTGTTGGGATTTCGAGTATGCCCAGAAGATATGAAAATTTAGTGGAATTGGGGAGAGATCCGAAATGTCTATATAGGGAGGTGATGCATGACCTTGCAGTAATCTTTTTTATCTAAAGCTAGTTTTCTTCTCGTTGTTATATTTGAACTTGTTACTTGAGTGTCTAAGGGTCGCCCAAATTTGTGTTTTAGTAGGTTGTTTTGTTTTCTTTCATTTACTTTCTTTCTGTTGTATTTGTGTTGAAGTACCCTTTTGTACTTCTATTAATTTTATTCTTCGTTGCTAGATAAAAGAATAAAAAAAAATTAAAATTATTAATTATAATTAGTTATTTTAATATATAACTATAATAATTTTTTAATTTCTCTAATAAAAATATTAATAAATAAAAAATTATTCCTATAATTAAAAATATATTTCATAAACATATATATAAAAAAATTATATAAAAATAAAATATTGGCGACTAACCCGTTTGTCCATTGTAAATCTTCAACTCATCTTGATTATGACAGGAAAATCATTTAAAAAGTATAATATACTAAAACGAAATTGACTTATTTTATTATTCTTAATTATATAAAATATATCAAAATAGACTTTGAAAATAAAATTATTATTCTAAAATATGTTTAATCGAAGAAATTGACAAATAATATATATATATATATATATATATATATATATATATATATATATATTGTTTGATATTTTTATTTTTATGTTTTATTATGCAATAAATATATTATGTATATTCGTAAATAAGAAAAATATAAACTATTATGATCACGATAATACTGTATTTTCATTAATTTATATAAAATTATTATTACATAATTTAATTATGATTATTATGCATAACGAGTTTGTTTTTCCTTTATGTTATGATACGTACAGCATTGTTGAACAAATAGTAAATACGTATAGAATTTGAACAAATAGTAAATACGTATAGAATTAGTATCTCAATTTGTATTATTTTTTTAAGCAAGATTTCCAAATTAAATTTTGTCAATTGAAAAATATATTACTAAAAATTGTCAAGTAGATTCTCCTATTATTAGCCACTTGACAAACTAAACAAATTCTTCACACGCATAATATAATATAGTTTTATTCATAAAATTAGTTCCATTTTATTAATAGATTTATAAAATATTAGACTAGTCCTTTAGAATCAAAATAAATATTTTTTAGTAGTTTTTATCTACATCTTACATTATATTATTTTAAAAGGAATCAACAATAATAATATAGTATTCTTCTAATATTTTAAAAATTATTCAAATTAATTTTAATTGAAGTTATTTAACCTATTGGTACGTAAGTGTGAATTCTTTTTATCAACATTGGCACTCATTTTTTTAAAATACTAATTATAATTTCTTTCATTAGATTTAAATAATATAATTTTACAAAATGAGAGATAGGATCCAAAACAGACGTAAAGGATATATATATTTTAATTTTAAATGAATAATATAATTACACTTAAACAATTTGCACTACAAGAAAAAACACATTTAGCCACCGAAATTAGCGACCGAATTTTTTCGGTCGCAATTAGCAACCGATTTAATTTTAGTCGTATTTAGAGACCAATTTAGCGACCACTTTAATTCGGTCGCAATTAGCGACCGATTTAGCGACCAAAATATGATTTGATTTTCACTTTTTTATTTAGCGACTGAAATAGCGACCAATTTTTGTGTGTCACAAATTTTCAGTCGCTAAATCGGTGGCTATTTCATACATAAATAAAAAAATCATTTAGCGACTGATTTAGCGACCGAATTACAAATTGAAATAGCGACCGAATTAAAATCGGTCACTAATGAGAAAATAATCTATGATTATATCTTATTTTTGCAATATCGCTCAAGCGAAAATAACATCGCTCGAGCGACGCCACCTGCACAAAATTGGCATTCTCGGGTTGTATTTAGCTTGAGCGACACAATTCTCGCTCGAGCGACATCCGATTCAAACATGAGGCACCCAGGTTACATTATCCGGCTAACTTTGATCGACGTTTACGCAGGTCAACATTCGCTCAAGCGAAAGTAACATCGCTCGAGCGACGCCACCTGCACAAAATTTGAAAGTGATGAAGATCTTATTGAAATACATTGGCAAAGATCTCATTGATTTGATGAAGTCAAAGATGAAGTCAAAATTCAACTTTGCAGCGGTCAACAAGTCACTTTGATAAAAGAGTAGAAAGATTAGTGTGTCTACAAAATGCTTAGGTAAAATCATTTTATCTTTTCTGCTGCATGAGGTTTCTTCACTTAAAAGATTTTGCAAAATGCCTCTAAAATCGTTTTAAACAATTAAAAACAAAGTATTTTGACAAAAGCTTTCTCAAACATGTTTTTAACTGATAAAGTTTTGAAAGAACCGATTAAAATCATTTAGAATGTTCAAAGAAGTGTTTTTACAGTATTTTAATTGATAAAACTTGATTTTAATCGATTAAATCCATTTAGAACTCATTATGATCGATCAGAATACAAATATGACCGATCAGAATCAGATGTGATCGATCAGATTTAAATTATGAGCGATCAAAATTTTTTCAATCGATTAAAACATGTTTCAATCGATTAAAACCACTTAAAGGTTCAGGATGATCGATCAGAATGCAATTATAACCGATCAGAATCAGTTATGATCGATCAGAATTGAGTTATAACCGATCAGAACATTTTCAATAGATTAAAACACGTTTTAACCGATTAAAACAACTTGGAAAAATTATGTACAGAGTTTTAATCGATTAAAACCTATTTTTATCAGTTAAAATAACTTGAAAAAGTTTTACAAGAAAGTTTTACAGTATTTAAATCGATTGAATCGTGAAACAATCAATTAAATAAACTTAGAAGATTTTCTGTAAAGTGTTTTAGCTGATATAAATATTGTCGTATCAGTTAAAACAAATCTGTTAAAGA